ATAATAAAAAAATACAACCTCCATCAACAATATATACAGTAGTACCTCGACTTACGCTACCCTGACTTACACGAACCCGGAGTTATGCGATTTTCAAATCTCGTCAATTCTTTTCTTTGAGCACCACACAACTCTTGATTACTCACTCTCCCAACACTATTGTTCAGCTTACATGTTCGGACATGTCGCGCAGAATCGACACATAGCTACAATTTATTTTGTGTTATTTATTTCTGTGTTTGTCATATATACGGAGACTTGAAAGACTCTGTGTGGTGATTTCTCGTAACCGTGAGCGAANACACTATTGTTCAGCTTACATGTTCGGACATGTCGCGCAGAATCGACACTAGCTACAATTTATTTTGTGTTATTTATTTCTGTGTTTGTCATATATACGGAGACTTGAAAGACTCTGTGTGGTGATTTCTCGTAACCGTGAGCGAATCAAAAGACGAGATAAGATTAACGAGAACATTTATTTGTTTACATACATCCGACTTGGATTTTACACAAATTGCGAAATTATACCCTGACTTACGCGAATTTGACTTATGTGGTTATTGCTTGGTCCCACCTATTGCGTAAGTTCGGGGTATTACTGTATTCCACCAGCTCTTTTTCGATATTCTCACGAAGAATTGGCTTTCTAACTAGTGTCTTTTTCATAAATTGCTCCAGAGGAATGTCTGCTTGCAAAAAGAGAATTTACAAAGTAGTTTTTGGCACCTCATAAAATTTTTCAGCTTTCTTCAGCCCCATTTTTTTGTTTCTTACCATACTCATTGTCCCTGCTATTTTCTCCTAGCTCCATGTTTGTCTCTTTGGGTTTTTTTTTGGCTTGTTCAGCTGGGCTCTAAGCATCTGAAAATTTAAAAAAAAATCAATTTGAAAAAATCAGTTTAAAAGAACACTTATCCAGAAGTTTTTTAACCAAAATAACTTCAGAATTTAACTAGATCTACTTATTTATAGTTTTAGGTATCTATTTCTAATTTTTTCATTCATACACCACATACTTTTACAAAAATTATTCCATGGTTTGAATTTGTGGGTAATATTAGTTGGGTTCCATATTAAAAGCACCAGTGGGGTCCATATTTCACACATCGCTGTCGTGCGTTAACTTAATTTTTGTCAACAACAAACTTTAAAAACGTGAACATCAGACAGACTAACATGTACTCCTAGGCCTCTAGAATGGGACACATCCACCAGGAAACCTACAACTACATGATTTATATTTTAGAAGTAATTAAATTCACTTACCATTCAAAAGTTTAGAATTGCAAAAAACACAAACGTCCTGTTTCACTAAGTGCAACTGCATAACTGAAGTGGGAGGCGTCCTCCCCTTGCTATGGATGTCTGCCTAGTGCAGTTCAGCCATAATTTGCTAGAGTTCACATCTATTATCAGTCTGAAATGGAGGGTTCCACCTTTTCCTGTATATATACTGTAATGCACTCAACACAGGAAAGATATAAATACTACTATTATATTATTTAGTCTGACATTTTTAGACATTTTCCAAACAATAAGGTAATTTCTTAAAATCAAATTATATTTTATAGATTATATACATTTATATANATGCTTAACAACTTAAAATTTAATATTGGCATACATTCTAGTTGCAACCAACATATAGACTCTGGAGACTTATCAAAAACTTTCTAATTGTTAATTTGATAGCTTAAATATAATCTGAGTAGATTTATAGAGATTATCAGTTTATATTCCATTAGAAATGATTTGATGTATAATGACACTAGGATATAGAAGTGATCCCTGATTTAAACCTATTTGAATTTTAAATTATTATTCTTATTCAAAATCTTTAAAATACCGACTTTTTAAAAAATACATTAAAGATTTCAATTAATTATTGAATAATGAAAAATTTACAAAACCCAAGTAGATTAATTATTTTGTAGGAATATTTTTAACAGTATTCATAACAATATGAGTATATTATTAAATATTATTTAAAGGTTATTGTAATTTATAGTTATATTAATATTTTATTTATATAGTTTAATAGTTAGATTTCTGAGTTGTTATGTATTGCCTATAATTCTCGTTAGAGTAATCTCTAAATCAGTACAAATGTAATATGATTTTAATACCAAAATTATTGTAAATCAAACTATGTGAACTGTAATGATATGTCATTTCCGAATTCCATTCAGATCATAAATACTGTTCTATTAGTATATACATATATATATTCTTTTCTTTTAACATGAGTTCTTATAAAGTAACATTAGGAATAACTCATAAAGTAACCAGATTGCATAAGATTTGTGTTTTTTTTTATGTAAATGTAACACGAATTTAATTAAAATAAATTTTCTATTTATAATTCATATTTTAGAGCTGTTTATCTGATAAATTCTGTTTAGAATTTCTTCTTAATCCTTTAAAGCAGTAAAAAGAAAACCAGTGATATAAATAACACAAATTTTATTTTGTTCCTATCTTTCTAAATGCATTTCTTTATTTCTATTTACTTCTTTATTTCTTGCTTTCGAGTATCAGTTTATGCATCTTCCGTGTTAAATGATTTATTTTCTATGGTTTTTACGTATTTAATTTACAAAAATAAAAATATCTTATTTACTTGTTTGACATATTTTACATATAAAAGTAGTGGTTTTATTTAAACGACTGTTTTCATGCTTTTTTAATATCATGCCTCAAGAGGATTTTCTTCAATTATTTCAGCAAGTTGAGGGTTTACGCCTAGTTTATTAAAAACTTTAATTCATATTTTATTGTTGTTTAATAAAAAATATATATTATTCTAATAGGTCGAAAAAACGTAATTTTGTATTATCATAAAGCTGTGTTCCATAAAATGTATTAGGATTAAAAATTAGTTCTGATATCACTGTTTAGTAAATACAGATTTAAAACTTTATTATGAGATACGTTATAATTTCTTATTTTTTATGAGCATTGTATGACTTATTAATCTAGATCCTAGTATACAAGGTACTATAGGAACCAAAATTTGTCCGTTTAACACAGCATCTACTAAAATATTCTTATATGTTTTCAACACCTAATGAATTTAAAAAAAAATCAATTTGAAAGAAATTCAAATGTACAGGGGAAAAAATAAGCTTTTAAATTGTATTTGAGAATAAAGCTATGGATTTAATTTTATTGTTAGTGATAAATCTAAAATTTTGTTTGTTAATTTAATTTGTAAATTTTATATATGGATATATACTTGTATGTATATATTGGAAAATTCTAGTAAGAAAATGAATAATAATAGCGATCAAGAAAATGGGATTACCTGGAGAGAAGAAGCTGAAAGTGTTATAAATGATGTAAAATTTGCAGTTAGCAGTATTAGTATTTCGGAAATATTGCCACTTACCGAAAGAATTGTTTATTTAAATATTGAAACCAAGGAGAATAGGAAAATGTGTTTGGAAATGTCACCTAGAGGATTCCGTGTCGTTTCTGAAAGTTTTGATGTTATAGATCCAGAACATTTGCAAAATACTAAATATTATGAAACCCTCTACTCTTTATTGGACATACACAGCCCACAATATAGACAATTGTTTGGAAATGCTCTAGTGAATAAATTATCAAAACTTCAATGCTGAACAATATTATATTCATGATTTAATATTAGGATAGTATTTTAAACTGTAGTAATTCTATAGCAAATTACTAATAATAT